TGATCCTAATAAGGTTAATAATCTTGAGTCTAAAGTTGTACAAATTGCTGAAGAGAACATAAATTTACAAGTAAACATTATTATTTTTTCTGTTTAATGAAATATTATTAATAAAAATGGTTTTTTTTAATTATTTTATTCAGGTTGAGTTATCCAACAAAATATCTCAAATAGAAGAATTGTCTACTCAACTTAACTCACAAAATAAAGAAATGGTATGTGGCTTATAAACATATTACGCTTGTATTAAGTTTATGAATTGATTCATTATTATAGAGCCTACATTTTGGAGGTAAAAAAAATTGCAGTGTTTCCAAAAGTATTATGGCAGATACACATATAAGTGAAAATGAACAAATGCGTAGAGCAATTCAAAATGAATCAAATACTTTAGCTTCATTACAAATGTCTTATCATAATCAAGATAATTCTGTTCATGAGCCATCAATGTTGAATTTGAGTCTTCCCTCTCCATTGACTAAGGATAATAGAAATTTGCAAAATTCAATGAGTGTAAGATAAATATTTTATATTTACATTAATTATATTTATTTAAAATTATATATTTAATTAGGAGGAGTTGAAGTCAGCATTAGCAAACATCAAGCTGGAACTAGAAGAAAAAAATTCTTTGATTAAAATAATGGAAAAGGATGCAGAACGTATGGATCAACAACTTGCAGAATTTAAAGAAATTACAAAAATATTAAATGTCGAAAAACTTGCTCTAGAAAGCCACAACCGTGCTCTAATTGAAAATGAAATGATTTTAACTGAGAAGTTAAATGATGTAGTAACACAACTTGAAAATAAACAAGAAACTCTAAATGAACTTGAAACTTTAGGAGTAAAATTAAGAGCTGAAATACAACCATTAGAATATATGAAAAATAATTTAGAAAAAAAAATTTCTGAATTCAAGGATTGTAATAATATACAATCAGAGAAAATCAAATGTTTAGAAAAGATTAATGAAGAACTTATTAATGAACGTGATCACTTAAAAAAAAATCAAAAAGACTTAGAAGAATTAAAATCTTTAGAGCATGATAATTGGACATTAAAAAATGAACTGTTAAATACCGAAAAGTTTAAAGTGGAAGTGGCTGAAAAATTAGAAGAGTTAAAGAATGAATATGACCAATTAAAATCCAACAATTTAACTTTGATGGACAATATTAAGAATCTAAAATTAGATAAAGATCGTTTAAAGAATGAATTAAAAAGAAATGAAGAATTACATATAAATGAGCTTAATGGTTACAGAAATTTGTTAAATGAAGAACAAAATAAAAAACACCAAACTAACATGGAGCTATTGAAAACCATTGGAGAATTGACTAATCAAGCTTCTGAACAACATCAATTAATATCTGGAATACAAGAAAATAAAGAATGTAAGTTAATTATAGTTATTTATAAAGTAAATTTATAGTTCTATATACATTTTTTTTTTAAATCTTATTATAGTTGAAGTTACATACACCTTTTCAGATTTTGATTCAGAAAATACCATTTCTATCCCAGTAAGAGAACTACATTATTTTTATTTATTTCCATTTACATTTTAATATTTACTGATTTTAGCTTAAAAATAATATAAAAGCTCTTGAAAATGAACTTGAATATGAACGTAAAATTAATTCAGATCAGCAAAGAGATATCTTGGATAAAGATGCTGAAATAGAGCTTTTAAATACTATAAAAAAATTTCAAGAAGAAAAAATAGCTGACTATATGTATGACCATAATGGAAAATTATTTTATTTTTATTTTCATAAATTATAATTACAATTTTTATAACTATTTTTGTAGGCATAGGATACAAGAACAATCAGATAATAATACAAAATTGGAATTAACTTTAACCAAATTAGAAAATTATATTAAAGTATTAGAAAATAAGATTGAAATCTTTCAAGCCAAAGAACTTCATAGAGTTAATGATGATCTTGTGGAGGTAATTCTATGGAATAATTTATTATTAATTAATTTCTACTAATAATAACTGTACATTCTCGCTTTCTCTAGAAACTTGAAAATGATTTAAAAAAATTATTGAATACAAATGAAATTTTAGATAAAGAATTAACAAGAATTTTAGACATCAAAGAAGAAACTGATCAAAAACTAATTGAAGCATATAATCAAATAGCTGAATTTGAGACTTCTAAAAATAGAATATCTGTTTTATTGGTACTTTATGACTAAATACTTCAGATTTTAAATTTAAAATATTTATTATTTCTTTCAGGAACAATTAGAAAATAAAAATAAAATCATTGAGGAATTTCAGTGTCAATTAAGTAATGTTGAAACTATTGTAAAAAGTCAACAAGCTAAAGCTGAGGAAGATAGAAGATTATTGGAACTTAAAGTAGAATATAACCTATCCCTACAATTTTTACAAATTCAATTTTTTTATTTTATAGGTTGTTGAGTTACAAAATGAACTTAAAATCAAAAATCAAAAATATCTGGAAATAATAAATGATTATGAAGTTCTAAAAAACTATATTATTAAAAAACAACAAATAACTGACGGTGTAAATTTAGTTTCTGAAAGGAATGTAAGTATTTTAAAATATTTAAATTAAGAAATATTTGAATGATTATAGCAAATCAATAATATATTCTTTTAGACATCTCTCAATTCAGGCTTAAATTAATTTTATTGTTTTAAAACATTTAATTTAGCTATACATGGTTCATCATTAAATTCTGAATTTGTATGTTACAATTGTTTTTTCAACTTTCTTGGCACTATAAAATATATATTTAATAATTTAACTATAGCTTATTTTCATAACCCAAAATTAAATTTTAATATATTACCTTCAATATTATTTATTCTTATATGTTGGGGTGTATGTGTATGTATGTTATATGTATATATGCTCTTACAAAATCTTATTTTATATGTCTGTCCTTTATTTTATCTTCTTTAATTTCATAATAGATAAACACAATTATAGTTTTTTTGAAGAAAAACTGATAATACTACTTAAAATTAATATTTTATGGGATTATAACTTTTATAATTGTTGTCATAAAGTCACTCTGTTTAAAGTTTAAACACACAGTTGAATTATGTTATTCGTCAGTATAGTGGTTGTTCATATACATTTAACGCCTCGCTGCATATTACGTGAAATGGATGTGTGTCATCAGACAAAAAAATATAAACTCATGCATTTAGTATAATCACTATTGATATCAGTTATTATACGAATGGCTCTTAGCATGAATAATTATTTTAAATATTTTAATTATATTATTTGTTGTTTTTTTAAATGCGCTATAATATGTATTAAATAAAAACATCGTCGGGTAAAATCATATTTAGTATTATCATAACTGATATCGATTATTATCAAAACTGATAATTACATAATCATGGGCTGCGGTGGTGGTTTAGGGAGACTGTGGTTACAGCTCGAAGGATCTGTGATGGAGAAGGTTGTAGAAATTCTCAATCATTCCTACTTATTTTATATCACAGTTAAAATCTCATAAAATATTTATACGTTTAAATCTGTATGTGTATGTTTGTTTTAAACACAATATTTTAAATATTAATATAGAAAATGTTATAATTTTAGGACAATTTGGAATTGAAATTAGAGGATGCAAAAAAAAATATATTTGAGTGGCAGAATAAATATAATGGATTACTTAATGAAAACCTTGAAATAAAAAATAAAGTAAAAAACAAAGTTTCTAATTAACTATATTATTTTATGACAATTGTTTTTAAACATTATGCTTAGTTTGAAACGTTAGATTCTGAATGCGGTCATTTAAAAAATAAAATCACAGAACTTCAAAATAAGCTTATGTTAAGTGATCACTATAAAAACAGATTGAAGGATGATATTCAAGACATTATTACACCAGTAGATTTAGAACAAAAAAATTTGAAATTAATAGTATGAGTTATTTGTTTACATGTTATTCATATTTTTATATTTATTTATATAAATTATTTTTTGTTAATAATGAAGTTAAATTTGGAAACTGAAAATGCGTCACTTAATAAAAATCTAACAGAAACTCGTGAAAAGTACAATAAATGCAGGGCCCATCTTGAAGAAATAAAAACTATGTTAACTAAACAGAATTTTAAAGATATTGTGAAAGAAAACATTGATCTTTGTAATATAAGGGTAAAAATGGTTGAATTATTTATAAGCCATAAACTTGATTTGTATATAATTTTTAGGATGAATTAAAAAAAGAAATTTCTGATTTAAAAATTTGCAATCATGATTTAAGTAAAAAAATATTAGAATTGGAAAAGGTAATATTTTATAAATCAGTCTATTTTATTAAGATATTATTTTAAATCTATATCGCTGTAGGGGAAAAACCGTTGGCCAATAATTTGTAATCACAACTTAACACGAATTGAGACACTTTACCATTCATTAGTTTGGCAAAAGATGTATCTGGTGAAGTTGGCAAGAGGAAAAGACAAATTACTCAGGTTTATAATTCAAGAATGGCCTGAATTGGATAATAGTATTGTCAAAACAATGATGCAAAGAATTTGTGCGAAGAGAAAGATATCTAAGTTCAAGTAAATTTGATCAACTTTTTAATATATTTGTACGTAATATCGTTTTTTTTTAGGACTGTAGCTATTTGTCTAATAGCTGTACAACGTATGAGAATGATTACTATGAAACATGTACATTCTCAATTTGATCTCACACAATCTCAACTCGATCAAACACATTACAGCTTACCAAGAAAAATGCCATGGATTAAATGTTAATAAGTTTATAAACATAATGAATTCCCTTTTAGGTGCCGTGATAGTTTGTAGATTTATATAATTTCATAATTTTTTTTAACTTTTTTTATATAGTACAAATTCTTTTTATACATATCATGTAAGTATTTAGTATACAATTTTTATATTTAACAACTTATGTCATTTATTGTGATATTTTCAATAATTAATTTACTATACATTTTTAATGAAAAGACTAGAAATATGTGCCTTATTTTAATATATTTATATGTATTTTATAATTTTTACTCAAAATAAATTTTTAAAAAAAAATTTAATTAGTTTGATGTATAATTCTTGATGTATAAATTGGGCCTTTTGGCTCTTTCTTAATGACCTTATTGTTTGAATCCATTTTCAAATTGTTGGTTTTGAGATAATTCTAAAATTAAAATAATTTGTTTCATTCATTTTTTTAATCATATTTCTACTTTGTAACTAATATTTACATTCACTGTTTTGAGAAGTGGTACTGTTGGATTCCCAGCCTGTTTCTTTAACTCAATCATGTTTTCTGTATAAGCTAAAAATTCCTTGTCTTCTTCATGCCACTGCTGTTCAAATGCTTTGTAACGATTAATATCAGCTTGTCTATCTGCCATCAGTGCTAACTTTTTATCGTTCTACTCCCCCAAAAAAACAAAATTCAGAAAGATACTAATCTTGGTAATTTATGGTTAAATTACTTTTAACAATTGAATATTAAGAAATCAATCATTTAGAGCACTGGTCTCCAACCTTTTTTTTTTATAGTTGACTAAATTTAAAATATGCTTAAGCATTATGGGCCATAAAGAGGTAGTGAGTAATTCAATTTAAGAATAGATGATTTTTATTTAGATTTTTGAACAATGTATGTTTACTTTTATTTTTATAATTAAAAATTTATTTTGTAGATTGGAGACCCCTGATTTAGAGTAATCAGTTCTTTATTTTGCACATTTTTTTTTTACATCATAATGGTTATACATATTATTAAAGACCGGATTTATATGCATTTTAAATTATAAAAAATGCACTAAAAAAATTGAAAATATGCAAGAAAAAAATGTAAAATAAAATTTCAATTTTTAATAAATTTTATATATATTATTTTAATTTTGCAGTGATAATTATTTTATAATTTTACTAAAATTTACAAAAACAAAAAGTAAGATGCATATATGCAATACAGAAATGTGATTTGTTAAATTATAGAAATTATAGAAATAACAAATTGAAAAAAATATCCAAATAAATGTTTGTAAGAACATATAAGATGTAAATATTTTATCATCAATTTATAAATAATAATAGTTTATACTTACTGTAGTTGAATACCAGAAAATTAAAAAAAATCGCTTATTTTAAAATCTTGTTTGAAATAATATACTGTGAATAGACACTATTTACGAATTAACTGCTAAATATTATATCAAAATGGAGTGGAAATAACATACAAACTCATGTAATAATAATACATGAAAAATATCAATAAAAATTTTTCCAAACTTGTAAAAAAAGCCATACATGTGTACCCAATGGGGACGCTCAGCGTTGATATGTTAACTTGGCCAACGTAATTCTTACCAACAATTGTATAATGTAGCAGTAATTGTAATATGATAATATACCTATTTATGTTGTTTTGGGTATTTTATCAACAACGTTAGATAAAATAGGTAAAACCACGTCTCCACTATAAAACTTGTACAATCAGCCTATGGAAGTTTAGTAACCTACACGTTACCTACATATAAATTTTTACTTAACATCTTTTTGGATTGTTATAAGTGAATATTTGTACGGTTTTTTTTGTTAAAATATACAAAAATATGCAGAATATGTGAAAATATGCAGTATACAATTTTGATATTTAATCAATCAAGTAAAGATTTGTGGACACTCATTAACTGCATGTATATAATGTTGAAAATAACAACGTGCATTTTATGCAAAATCCGGTCTTTAATTATTATAGTGCAGTTTATTGGTTTTTTTTTTTTACTTACACATTGTTTATCAAGATTTTTTCGGATCTCATTGGCATTTTTTATTTGTGTAAACTTATGCAATTCCCCATACTCTACTAACAACCTTCTTTCTCGTTCACGTCTTTCCATTTCCCGTCCACTGTCCTGGAATAACTGTTCTCGTCTTCTGGATATTTCTTCCTCCCACAATTTCTTGCCACTTTGATCATGTTCTATTTTCTTTTTGGCTATCTCCTTTTTTTCAAGCCGTCCATTTTGATATCTGTACACATGCATAACAAATGTTAAACAATTTAAATACATAACCATTGATTTTTTTAATATCAATAATATCTATACTTTATTACTTGCTGGTGTTAATGAATAAATAAATATTATTATAAAATCAATAGCTTATTACAATACTATTTTATATAACCTTTGTTCCTGCTTTTCGATGGCACTTCGTACATCAGACTCGGCCCATCCTTTATCCTTCATAGGCAAAGCAGCTACTCTCATTCTCATTTCTTCCAATGCTAATTGTTTCACTTCCGTCAGCTATCCCAAAGGTATAAAGTAATTAATAATTAATAACTAAACGATTTACCTATATTCTGAAATTTTAATTAAATCATATTACTTCTATTTCTTTTTGTATCCTCTTTCTAGCCAATATTTTTTTTGTTTCTGCCATAATTGCAGTCACCATTTCTTCTTCATCTTCTTCTATTTGCTTCATCTTGTTATTAATGCTTATTAACTCTCGATTATCCTCTATATCTTTCTGCAATTTTTCTTTTGCTATTTGAACCTTAATTGCAACAGTTTAATATTCAACAGTTAATAAATAATTATTATTACATTATACTAACATCGACTATATTCTTATTACGAATTTCTTCGATTTCTCTAGCGATTTCTTGCAATTTTTCTTTACCTAATTTATGCAAAGTAAGTTCTTCTTCGTGTCTCTTTTTCTCACGATCTTTTAACCTGAAATCAATCCATCTATCAGAACAGGACTTAAATGTTCGAGTTCAACCATTACTCTTTTAATAATATTTTGGCACTATCCTTTTTTATTTGTTTATTTTTATCTTTTTCATTTATCTGATCTCTTATATACTGTTCTGCTTCTCTGTTTTGTTTTTGAGCAATCATAAGATCATTATCTATCCTCTTTTTTCTTTCAGACTTATTAAAATTAATTTGAATTGCTCTTTCTTTAAATACCTTAAAATAGAGTTACATATTAAACAGTAAAATAAAATGTTATTTTCATTTAAATGGTAGGTAGGTAACAAAAATCTATTATCGTTACTCGTTAATACTTCGGAATTTTGAAGAGCTCTGTTAAATGCTTTGACTGCGTCTCTTTCTTCAAATTTCTGTTTTTTTGCTTTTTCGATAATTTTGTTCCTTGTTTCTATTGCTTCATGTTTCATCTCCTTATCTCTTTGCTGTCGTTGGGCTTCCAACTCTGAAAGCGCTTTTCGTTTTTGTTCCAAAAGTTTTTTAGTTTTGTTCTATACATAAGTTAACGTAATTTAAAGTACATGCATTTATTATTAATGTAATGCTAATTTTATCTTACTAACCAGTTTTGTGTTGTCCCATCCTTCCACCATTTTTTTTGATATTTCACGCCGCTTTTCTTTTAATCGCTTGCTAGCGTCTATCGCATCTACTTCGTCTAATTTTTTTGTTAAAATTTTTCCTAATCTCTTCCATTCTTCGTTTGATATTAAAAGTGCACGATTTTTCGAATTTCGATCACCTACGTAAACGATTTCCATTTAGTCGTTCTTTAATATTAATTGAATTGGCTTATAGGAATATTTACATAAAAAATGTTGTTTTTATTTTAAAATAAAATAGTGAACATAAACTAGTTTATTTTAAAATGAAAATATTGATTATGTAGTTACACCTTTAGTTCCGTTGTTATGGATAGTAAACAAGCATTGAAGAAAACTAAGTTTTACATAATAAAACGTAAAATTATTTTAAAAATATACATATAATACTTACATAAAACTGAATCACTGAAATATAAATAAAATTATGGTGTCATTGAAATAACTCAAGTGTATTGTATTATACCTATTAGATAAAAATAAAATTACCTTAAATTTACATTTTATATTTAACTATAATATTGCAAACCAATTATATGAAATAGGAAAGAAAACAAATTCAAATTGTGTACCTACATATATATATAACACCTACCTCAAAGTTCTTATAAAAATTATAAAAAAATTTAGTTTAAAAGTAATATTATAGCACAACTCATTTATAGTTTTCAAATCTTAGTTGAATAATGTTTACTTTTTCTATACTCAAATTTCCTGGTGTTAAATTTATATATTTTCATCTAGGGTTACCAGATCATGCATTTAAGAAAAGAATACATAATATAATATAACGCCTTAAAGGCAGTGTGGTATTTAGTCATTTTGCGACCCGGCACAAAAAAAAAAAAAATTGGCACCCCTCTAAGAGGCCTATCTACGGAAAATATAGGAGATAGATCCTCATGAACCTTTTAGATAGGTATTCTAAAATCAATGCTATTTTTGTGTAGTAGGCACGCCATCACACGCCGCACACGATAACATTATACACTGTATTATTATAAATAACATGTTTATTGACATTATCACAACAAATTTGGGAACTGATATTATGTAGGTATATTAATAATATTCGAGATCGCTGATAGCTGATATTGCTATAAATACATTAATATTATACATGAATAAATTAAATGTATTAATATTAATTTATGATACAGTTATTAAAAACAAAAAAAATAATAATTTCAAAATAATTTTAAAAATTCAATAATTCACAAGTAGCTAAGCAAATTTTTGACTACAAAATTTCGGCGCCCCAAAAAACTTGCGCCCGGGGCAGTTGTAGCTAGTGCCCTCCCTTTAATGCGATCCTGCTTAAAGGTAATAATAAAAATCTACTCTCATAGCTAATATTTATTTAATTAACATAACATTTTATATAGGTAATTAAAGAATAAGAATTGAGACATAAAATTTAATATTTATCATTATTTCGAATTTTTAATAAAAAACTTTTATCTTTAATACAGTAGTTATAAAACTGAATATAGTCAAAATGCTTAAAATTGTATTGTGTCATCAATAAATGTTTTACAGAATCGTGTAGAAGTATATTTCTATCATCAGCCTATTGTACTTTCATAGGCTAAATATTCTTTCGACATTGGCATTTTGATCTGGTATGGCGAAGTAAAACATGCATATTTTTAAAAGTTCTGAAGATGTATCATAGCTTCTTTGTTCAAAATATTTCTGGTAAGTAATGTTTTCATGCTGGTGCTTAAATATTATTTTTTAGAATACCTATAATTTTTGAATATGGAACAGTTTATGGTAGAAATGTTAAATATAAATTAATTTTAGGTAACATTGTCTTAGAAGGACTAAGTCCAAAAAAGTTGAAAAAAAAATATATTTGTTCTGATCATTTTTTCAAAAGAAATGTATATGAATTCAAAAAATCCAAAATCACGACTCATAAAAAATGCTGTCCCTAACCAATATTTAGGTAAGTAACTGTATAATCCTGTATAAATGTATAATCCATTATAACATGAAGTGGGTTTAAAATTTCAATACGCTGTTAATTATAATGTTCAATGGTTGTATTTAAATAAAATACGCACATTTTCTATGTAGGACGTCAAAATTGCATTGAAGGGAATTCGAGTATGAATATTATAGATGAACCAAGTCAACTCGTTGAAGGTGTGTAAACTTTATTTTAATTTATGAGTGGAAATTTAAGTAATTTTACTGTCTATTATTTTGGTTCAGAACAAGAGTATATTTGTAGCGATACAATCAGTGGCGGCTCGTGGGTGCTGATAGTGGGGGTACGACTTTAAAATATAAAATACCACTAATCCAGTGGCGTAACGATAGGGTGGCATGACGGGCAATAGGCCACGGGCCCACGACTCTAGAGGGCCCTTCAAGAAAAAAATAGTACATTCAAAAACAAATCATCATAATAGTGAAATTTATAAATACGATTCTGTTTAAAAATATATGTATATTTTTGTAAAATAAAATAAATTTAATAACTGATCACGATTATGTTTATAAATTATTTTATTTACCAGTCCGTCGACATTGTCGATATTAATATTATTATACATTTAATGATATTGTTATTTGTAAAATGGAAATAACAATGAAGCGTATCGCTATCGCTTGTCTTTGAAACCGAACGTAACATTTATATTTAGATACTAGATCAGATTAGAACTATTCTAGGAAAAAGTGACCGTCGTTTAGTCGTTGTTACTTGATGTTCTTTTAATTTATATTTTATTTTGTTATTAGTCAATGACGTGTCGTTTGGGCTGGTCGTTATGAATCAGTTTTTGCGCTTAAAATTAGATTTGTTGAAATTCAAAAAGCTTTAACAAAAGTTATACTTTGCAACTCTAAGTTAGATGAGCGAAATGAAGCAGATGGGATTAAAAAACAAATTGAAAATCATAATTTTATTTGCACTTAAGTTTTTCAATGTAAAATTTTACAAATTATAAACCCAACTTCTAAGATTCTCCAGTCAAAGTCATTTTATTTAGATAATGCATCTAATTTATTAAAAAACTGTTATGAACAATTAAAAGAATATAGATGTAATTTTAATGATCTCTTGGAAGAAGCAAGTATAGTTGCTAAAAGTTGGTCTATCTTTACAGAGTTTCAAAACAAACGTCGTAAAGTAGTAAAAAGATATTTCGATGAACTATGTACTGATATGCGTTTAACTTGTCCAGAAAGCTTATTTCGTGTAACTATTTTTAATAGAACGTTGGATATATTAGTAAATCAAATAAGTAAACGTTTTTCAAGTTTTCATGAATTAATGCTAAATTTCACATGTTTACAACCATCTTTTCTCACATCAGCAACAGCTTTAGAGCTTTTAAATGAAGCTACAAAGTTGGTAAACAAATATGATAAAGGCATATCAAAAACATTTACAAGTGAAATTTTAGCTGTAAGATCAACTCTTAAAAATCAAATAAATCAACTTAATTCAACTAGAGATCTTGCTCAACTTTTAATGGTGAAAAATCATTCTTTAACAGCCAGTTTCCTAGAAGTATGTACTACTCTTTTATTATTTTTGACAATTCCTGTTACATGTGCAAGCGCGGAACGGTCATTTTGGAAACTAAAAATTATTAAAAGATATTTAAAGAGTAAAATGATACAAGATCGTTTAAGTGGCCTGGCATTAATTTCAATCGAATAAGAAACAGCCCGAGAAGTTGACTTTGAAGATTTAATCGATATGTTTGCCGAAGCAAAAGCAAGAAATTTTGAATATTTAAATTTTGTATTGCTTTGTATATATTTTTTAAACCAAAAAATGCTTAGTAAAATTTTACTATAAAAATAATATTACACTAAACATGTTTTTTATTGTTTGTAGCCTTAAAGGGTAGAATTGTATAGGTGGTTAGTTTTTGAAGGATATTCCTCATATCTCGTTCTTCCAAATTTATAAAACTAAGGGCCCGATTGGATTATTTTGCCACGGGCATTAAAAGTTCTGGTTACGCCACTGTACTAATCATAGGTTTAACAAATTGTCAAATTAAATATAATAAAATGA